ATGAGGAAGGCGAGGGCTAGAACTGCTGCCTCCAACCCCACTTCGCTTGGCTGGAATTGCTCTTGCAGGGACTACCTGTGTTCTTACTTGCAGCCCAATTCACTCTGACCTTGGTCTTCATGAGGAATTGAAGGCTAGCGATCTCTCCTTCCTTCTCAAAACCCTCTCCACCCTGGCTGGCTTCTCTAGGTTTATGTTCTCCCCTGACCATGTCTTTTACTGTTCCCTCACTGGGGGGGCAGGAATAGGACACCAAACTTGTAGTGACTGCCAAGAGTGTCCTTGGTCCATGGTCCTCTGTCTACACACTCAGAGAGCTCATCAAGTTTTGTATCTCCAATCTCTTATCACTGCACCAACAATTTCCAAGTTTTCCTCTCTCACCAATACCTCACTTCCATTTTGTGACTGCTTAGCTATCATTGCTAAATTTCTACTTTCTTTTTAATTAAGGTATAATTGACATATATCATTGCTATTCAATCACCCTACTTTTTCCTCAAATTAAAAATGCATCTTATCCTCCAAACAAATGTCACGCCCAGCCTGCCTCAGGCACACCGTCGGCTGCTGTGTTACTCCACACTATTCACATCTGTTGCCTTGATCTGTCGCTAAAGAAAGACATTTCTGAAACTAATAATAAATCATATGGAGTGATCACTGTTTAAAGAACAGTATACAAGATACTTTACTGAGAACCAGCGGAAAGGAATATTCAATTTCTCAACCTTGTTTGCAAGTAAATGGGGCACCGAGGAGCCCCAGGAAGACTGGTCAAAGCAGGACTCTACGGGGAGAGGGAGTTTTAAGCCAACTTTAAAGTAAATTAAAACTGGACTGAGATAGGGGTTTGCCAATTATCTCGAATCTTAAACATTTTTCTGACCTTTGATCATTTATTTGCATATAAACTATACAACGTATGGGGTAAGAGGACTGATATTGCTTTATTTCTTCTTATTATCCTTCACTTTGTAATGTACATGGCTATTCACAATTAATAAAGTTTGTAATGTCTAGAGATCCAACTTTCAATTGCCTGATATATTATTACTTCTTACCCAAAACCAGTGTTTTAAAAGATCAAATTTTACTCTACCTATCAACTAGTCCATTTGCATTAGAAAAAAATCAAGAGTTTTAGGAAGATACTTCAAAACACACATTTTACATACAATTTCAAAAGCAAATAACTTATAAAACTGAATGGTCACCAGCTTTTCTACCATATATTAATCTTTAATGAGAAGTATTATTAGAAAAAATATAAATGATACTTGGCCACTTATATATGTAGAGTGTAAAGGTATTTCCAGTTTAAATAGTATTTCGAATACCAAAGAATAAAAAACTCAGTAGAAAGACAGTCCTATTTCACTTTTATAAAATAATTCTTTAGACAGCAGATTTTCAGAGCATACTACTTGAAATGACAATGATCAGCAAGCGAGGGCTAAAGAATGCAGTTTCGTTTTACGACTTCCTAATTCCATAGGGCCGTCCACGGAGCAGGGCAGGGGCCGCGCCGGTTCCTTCTTTCGGGCCTGCCAGCTGCATTTGCTTTAAGCATCAAACTTGCTGGCAGCCCCACAGGCTTCCACTCCCCGTGGTTGAGAAAAGGCTTCCTGAGTCATGTGTTTTTTCTAGGGATAGAGGGCTCTCGGAATTATTAACTACAGGGAGAGAGGACAAGTCAAAACTCATTCGATGCATTCCAGTGTACTCCGATGGAGAGAACAGGTGCCTGCACTCCCAGCTGAAGAAAAACTTGGGGGGCGCCTTCCAGCCCTGCTGCGTCCTCTGACTAAGCAGTCCTGGGGACCCTGCATCACCGCCGCAGAGAAACCAGGCAGCCTCCAAGGGACCAGGAAACCTCCATATTCACTGCTTGCACAAGCAGAACAGCTTAAAACCCGCTCATTCCCGCGGCAATGGTGATTTACAGAGATACAGAACTGCCATCTAGCGGCAAAGAAGAAAAATAGCAAGGTGGATTGCATGGAAAATAAAGTTGTGATTTTGTTTTTAAAACAGTAGTGAAGCATACCAAGGGGTAGTAAAAGTTCAAAATGTCTAGGGGAACTAATGAGTCTCTTTGCCTCTAAAATGTATCTTGACACCTGATTCTCATAAATGGTACAGTTGAAATGTAATATAATAACTTTTAAAATAAACTTCTTATCTCATCCACCTGACAGTTTGGGCATAAAATAGAATTAAAGAGCCACCGGACAAACACCCAGGTGAAAGTATAGTTTTTATCACAGTGGAGAGAACAGAACATGAGCTATAAAACCAAACAGAGCTATGTCCAAATCCTCCTCTTACTCTTTATTTTGTGACATTAAGCAAGTTATAAACATCATTTTCTTTATCAGGTACAGATAAATGATAATAGTTACCTTAATGAATTGTCATGAGAATTGCTAAATATAATAAGATTGGGTGTACAGTAGATTGGTAATTAATTTTCATTTCCTGAATCACTCGTATGGCCAGTTACTCTCACAAAACATACACGTCACCTAAGAATAAACTGGCCCATAAAATAAACTTATGACAAAGGGGTCAACAACTCCAAAAGTAAATAATGTCATTGTTCAGTGCTTAACCTCAGTTGCTTACAAATACTTTACCCCTCACTTAGTTCACTGTATTTCCCGGCCTCTGGACACTTCAGTGACAATAAGAAAAGGAGACACCATGCTTAAACCAACAGATGTGACCCTTCAGTGTCTCAGCTGTAACATCGAATGTCTTAAAATCACTCCACTCCTCAAGTTTTCTGCTTATTACAATATATTTGACCATGGTTCTCAGCTCAACAAAAACAGAAAGTCACTACAATTTTATACACATGGATAAATATATATTAAAGTATCATATTACAGCTGGCATCTTAATTCATAGACCAATGTTGTATAAGTTTTATTACTATTGATAGTATGGATTACTTGTCCAGGTTTTCTTTGGCACTATCATATATGGGGTCTGTCCAGAAAAACTCCAGCCATTGTTAATATAACGAGAATGGTTTGCATGACCTCGATGTGACCTGGCAGCCAAGGAGAGTGGACTGGAATGCGCATGTGTGAGCAATGATGACTTTGCTATACTAGTCGGTGGGGGTGGTAGATGCTGCTGAGCGACCATGTGTACTGTGTGGCCATTGCATTGCATTCAAAATGACTGAGCAAGAAGAACAATAAATCTGCATCAAATTCAGCATTAAGCTTGAACATTCCTCCCCAGAACTTATTTGGTGATTCAAAAGGCCAGAACTATGGGCAACTGGTGACTGGCGGCTTCATCACCACAATGCGCCCTCATGCATCACATCTTGTGCAGAGTTTTTTGGTGAAATATCAAATCACCCAGGTGACTCAGCCCCCCTACAGCCCAGATTTGGTGCTCAGCAACTTCTGGCTTTTCCCAAAACTAAAGTCACCTTTGAAAGGGAAGAGATTTCAGACCATCAGTGAGATTCAGAAAAATACGACAGGGCAGCTGACGGTGATTGGGAGAACTGTGTGAGGTCCCAAGGTGCCTACTTGGAAGGGGCCTGAGGCATCATTGTCCTGTGTACAGTGTTTCCTGTATCTTCTTCAGTAAATGTCTCCATTTTTCAAAGCACGTGGCTGGATACTTTCTGGACAGAATTTAGTAACATACGCCTTGGAAGTAAGAATTTAGAAACATCTAATACAGTATCTCAAATCACAACTTAGTGATCACCGCTGCCCCCCAATATTTTAAGCTGAAAAATAACTAGCGAATATTTTGAGTGCACTATTTTTCCTCATTATTTCTGACTTTATTTCTCTTTACCTCTTTTTATTTATCTTTCCTCATCTTCTTCACAGCTGCTAACCTCTACAAGGCCAGTTAAATAACCATCAACTTGAGTCTACCACATGACCAAAAAAAAAAAAAAAAGGAAAAACAAAACTGGGAAAACCTGTTTTATGACACTATCCTTAAGGATATCTTTTGTCTTACGATAATGGTCAACCTACTTTTTGGAAAGCACCAGTGAATTACAAAATGAACTTTCTGACCGATGTTATATTCTTATTTGTCCTCCAGGGGGAGCCCAATGTTCATGTATGATTCACAACTGCTTTTTTTTTTTTTAGGGACATCGTTTTATACTCGCAAAATTCTCAAAAATTTGAGATTCTTTAATTTTACAGAGAAGAACACTTTGCCCCGAATAGCCTGTTATGTTGCGCACACTAACTCGGTACAGAACTACGCCCAGAACCCCAACGCGAGTCTTCTCGTTTCCCACTGGAGAGAACAGATGCTCTTCTTACTTACTAATTACTTTATAATTTCTAACCCTAAGTTACTCTCAAAACCATAGTTGAGAGAATGTATAAATAAAATTTTGACATGGTTTTATGCCCAAAACAGCAATTGCTACCCACAATTATCACTGTATATGAGCATTTCCTTTCTTGAATGTTTTTTTTTAGTAGGAAGTCCTTTTTGGTACAAGAAAAAAAAAAAAACATAACATTTGTCTTTTTAGCAACAGAAAAAAAGTTACCATGAAAATGAAACAGATGCTCGCTAATGTTTCATCCACCAAAGCAACTTAAGAATATGACTTGATTTTAGAAACACTCTGACAGATTTTTAAAAGTCATATCCACAGGACTGCAAGTTAGGCCAAGCCGTCTCCAGGGGTCATTTCCTGGAGGGGCCGCCGTGTCCTGCCGGAGCCAGCTGTTGGAGGCCCCGACTCTGGCTGGACGCAGGACGAGGCAGCTTCTGCAAAGCTTGTTCTCAGTTCCACTTCGAGGCTGATTTTCTATGCAAAGTCTAAATGGAAGAAAATATCCCTTCTTGCCAGGCCGATTCCCCGGGCAGACTAAGTGAACCAAGCAAGTGTGGCCTGACGAGCCAGGCAGATGAAAACAAGCCAGGGCCTGTTGCAATTTTAAAACACATAAGGGAGAAAGGGATTTGACACCCTGATAAGATCTCCTTACCTGCTGAACAGCGTCTGAACAATTTTTCAGAGTTTCCAAAACAGCAGATTGGGATTCTGGGTTGGAAGGAAAGAAGACGGTCAGTATATTAAAGGACAAATTTTCCCCTTTCTTCAATCAGAAAATAAAATGAACTATAATCTTTAACCATAAGTACCCAAAACATTCAGATTATCTTCCAATTATGCTCTTCATATATATAATGAGAATAGGACTGCTCTTTAGTATATAAAACACATGAGTTCTGTCCAGGAAAAGTCCAGCCATTTGTTAAAATAACAAGAACGGTTTGGGTGACATTGATGTAACCTGGCAGCCAAGGAGAGTGGACTGGAATGCACGTGCATAAATAATGATGATTTTACTGTACTAAGTCAGTGGGGGCGGTAGATACTGTTAAATGAGCATGTGTACTGTGTGGCCACTGCATTCAAAATAACTGAGCAAGTGGAGTAACAATTCTGCATCAAATTCTGTGTTAAGCTTGAACATTCCTCTGGAAACTATTCAGATGACTCAGAAGGCAGCAGCTATGGGCACCTGGTGATTGGCAGCTTCATCACGACAATGCACACTCTCATGCAGTTTTTTGGTAAAACATCAAATCACCCAGGAGACCCAGTCCCCCTACAGCCCAGATTTAGCACCCTGCAACTTCTAGCTTTTCCTAGAACGGAAATCACCTTTGAAAGGGAAGAGATCTCAGACCATCAAAGAAATTCAGGAAAATACAACAGTATTTGGTGATTGGGAGAACTGTGTGAGGTTCTACTTTGAAGGGGACTGAGACATACATCACTGTCCTATGTACAGTGCTTCTTGTATCTTGTATCTTCTTCAACAAACGTCTCTATTTTTCACATTACATGGTTGGACATCTTCTACACAAGACTTGTATATAGTGACCAATACTCGTACCATTAGTTACTTTTAAAATTGGAATAGGCCTGTGCCCTTCTTGACACATCAATCATAATTACTTTTCTCAACCGCTAGTTCCTATTTTGTGCCAGAAAAATACTTGCTAAGAAATTCGTCTTTTATGTTATTCACTTAGCTTAGGTCTGCATAGTGACAGAACCCAGCTCACCAATCTTGCAGGATGGGACCTCGGATGGCTTGTCTGATTATTGACAAATTACCTTCCGATTTCAGTGAGGGACAATGAACACTGTCACCAGGAGGCACTGAGTAATAAGGGATTTCGGTCCTTCGGTCCATCACTCTGGAATTTATGAGACTGCCAATACTTCATGCTGAAAACCTAAGGGATAGGGTTTTCTTTTTAAGCTAGGGGACACTTTCTTCCTCATAATATCCTCCACTTCTAGAGTGGTGCCCAGCACACAGTAGGTGTTTACAATATGAATATTGTGGGAGGAAATATTGTGGTTGGATCAAGAGAGTGACCCAACCATGACAGTGGGTGCCACCGTGAAGAGCTGGTGATGTGAGGAGGAAGGAGATAGAATTCGGTAACAGGCAATGCAGATACCACTTTGCCAGTAGCTACTCCCTGCCCCTCAGCTAAGAGTACATCTTTCTAAAGAAATCATTGAGAATAGCATGTATTAACCACCAACACATATCACCGTGGTGATGGAGTATTAACAAGTGGCCTTAAAATACAACCATTTTTCCACTGAGTTCATCAGAAACGGGTCTCTTCTCTCTTAGACTCATAAATCTGTACTCTGACCTTAACACCCAAGGTAGCCAATTTTGAATGAATATCTTCAACAACAAAGCAAGTCGACAGTTAGTATTAAAGCAAACCCTGGAATGCTTTTGTTTTCTGCTCTTGGTCACCACCAACCCCCACTCTCCAAATACCGCAGACCCAAGATCATATGTTGTGATCCTGGGGCTTTGAATCGATGGAGAAAACTCTCTTACTCTTTCTGCTATTTAGATAGAACTGTAGAACATGAACAGTTTTTCACTTTATGAATGCATGCATTTCCTAGCTTTTTCCTACAGTCCCAGACCTGGTTGCCTGCCCCCAAAAAGCAAACGTCTGGGCTCTGATAGTAAATAAGAAATGTGTGCAGTTAACCAGAACAGTAAGCTGCCAAGATGCATCAGCCAATATTCTGAACACCACACCTGAACTCTCACTTCATTCACTGGCGAGCGGAGCTAATTCTCCCATCCCAACCCCTTTCACTGGGCTTTTTATTTCCTTGAATCAGTGTGTTATAGCATCTAAGAGAAACATATCAAAATACTCTCTTTAAACTCCCAAGCCGAACTATAGATGTCGTGGAGGGTGCAGGAATGGAGATGAACGAGACGCACAGAATAACTGCGCTAAAAATCAAGGGACGGTGAAAGAGAACAGTCAGGAGCAGAAAGAGAGCTGAGTGTTTAGGAGGAAAATAATAGTGAATGAAAGTGAGAAGAGAAAAAGGGGAGACGCAGGGAAGAGCCAAGGGAGAGAAGCCGGAGAAGGGAAACGCAGCGTGAGCAGAAAACAGGTGGAGCGCAGGGCAAGCAAAATGCCTTCTGTTTTGCCTGCCCTTTTCCTCTCTATTTCAGTATTTACAGTTTTTTACCTTTTTATTTAAGAGTAACTGGTATAGAACCTTACCTTAGTTACATTAGTTTCAATATGGTGACCCCACATTTTTCTATTTTACCGTGTGATCACCCCACTATTTCTAGCAACCATCTGTCACCGTGCAAGTTTACCACAATATTATTGACTGAGTTCCCCTTTCCACCCATCTCCTCACTCCCTTCCTTCTCGTAACCACCCCTCTGGTCTCTGTTTCTATGAGTCTGTTTTTGCTTTGTTTGTTTTCCACATGTAAGTGAAACCACGTGGTATTTGTCTTTCTCTGTCTGACATTTCATTTAACATAGGTGCATCCATGTTGTTGCAGACAGCAAGATTTTGTTCTTCTTTGTGGCTGCATAATATTCTGCTGTGTACATGTAGCACATCTTTATCCATTTCTCAGTGGTGAACACCTAGTTTGCTTCCGTATGTTGGCTACAGTAAATAATGCTGCAAGAAGCATAGGGGTGCGTATCTTTTCAAATTAGTGGTCTCATTTCCTTGGATAAATACCCAGAGGTGGGATTGCTGGATCATATGGTATATGGTTTTAGGTTTTGAAGGAATCGCTGGCTTCTGAGCTGGCTCATGTCTTTAGTCACTTGGCAGGTGTATTTGAGAAATCTGCTTAGTGTGAATATCCTTAGAATGATCACCCCTCACCCAAACTTGGTGGCGTGTGTTCCCAACACTGCTCTCCTGCAACCCCGGGTGCTGCTGGGAACCGCCTTCTACTCAGTTCTGGGACTGCCAGAACATTCTCATTAAATATTCACCCACCGGGGTGGCTGTGTTTAAAGAGGAACCAGTGAGCCCTCTCTCAAGGGTACATTTAAAACTGCCAACTGTGCTCACTCACTCTTCTTAAGAATTAGAAACTAGACTGTTTTTCAGAAAACACTACTTTGAAGCAGAATCGGGGAAAGAACATTCCTGACAAATTTTTAAATGTCCCATTCCATTAAAGTTAGCTCACAACATCTAAGTATAATCTAAAATCTGGTCTTCTCGCAATTCCAAATACATTTCAGAAGTGATCTATCATCACAAAATAAGATTATGGCTCATTAAACAAACTACACTTAGGGGAATTTTACATTTGCAGAGAGAGGCTAGCAAAAAAATTAGTATGCTATGCCCCTCTGCTTTGACTGAAAAGTAACTCAAACCCTTTAAAATACACAAAATAGTCTTTCTAAAGTGAATTAAGCAGTTTATAACACTCACGTTTCAGTTAAAATGCACTTAGCTACAACCTTATTAAATTAAAGCTCCTTTAATGGTATACATCAATTCTATTTAAATGTAGTCCATTTAATTGAAAGATAATTTGTGAAACTTCATTTAAATAGCATGACTTATGATTGGCTCCCTAATGGATGGCAGACGTTTTTGTTTCTAGTTCACCAGGTCCTTCCACAAGTGAAGGCAGGGCTCAGAATGCCGTCTCCCTCAAAGGGCCCAACGCTCTGCTCTGCGTATGGACTATTTAATGGTGCAGACCTGCCCCTCATCGCCAACAAGAATATCTACACACACACACTTGACCTCGCATGTGTGAGGGGGAAATGCAGGCAGATTTTCCATAAAAGAAAACAGAGAGTTATATACAGGAGACCCAGGCAAGCTGTTCCAGAACATTTACCGCTCGATCGAGTGAGATGTTCAGACACGAGATGTTCTGGAGCTCTCCCCGGCGCCTGTGTAACTTCTGCATGGTCTCAGTTGCACGTGTGTTAAAATAGTTGGACTACTCCTGGGCGTGAGCTGATGATACTGTATTTGCACTACACCGCGTGGGATCCCTTCTCTTAGGACCCATTGGAAACACTTCTTTAAACTATGAGAGGCCAGAAAAGTGCTTCTCTAAGAGACCGTTGCTTTCAGTCTCAGGGATACAGGAGATGATACGGAATTCATTGTTCCCACTTCACTTTCTTCTTTAAATCTGAGGGCTATGTTTCCAACGACCTTTGAAAACTGCAGGTCCTTCTGAAATACATTTCAATATGCTAGCTAACTCAGCTTCTTTTTATTGCTCCAGCCGAAATTCCTTTCCGTTTGATCTGGTTTCATCTGTAATCCTTTCCACACCTTAGATATTTATGAGCGGCTCAAATCGTTTTTTGGAGCAAAGTTGGGTTCCAGTTCTCTCAGCCAGCATGTAAATATACTTTTTAGAGTTTTTACACAGAAAGTTTCTGCATGCTTCTGCCAGCTCTCTGTCCATACATTTTTCTCTAGAACTTTCTGTGCCCACATTGCCTTTCTCAAAAATCATTCCTATGTTCACTCTCTTGGCCATTCATATTTTTCAAAGAAAGATAAAGGGATGCAATTTCCCAAAGATGCAGCAAGAATAATCAAGTCCCTACTCATACCTAGACATCTAGCTCTTGTTCTCCATAAATTTGAAAACTAAAGTTAATCGTTTCTTTTCTTTTATGTAAAGCTATTGAATAACCTTTGAAACTTAGTGTTGAGCTTCTAAAATGTTCCACAGGATGTCTCAGAGAGTTTGTGTTGGATGCACAAAACTCTCCCTAAAATGTTTGTATTCATGTGCTGAATAGATAATTTATTACTTAGGTCTTTTTAAAAAAAAAAAACCTTCATTTATTCACTCAAATGTTTAAGTATGTTCTATGTGTCCAAAGGTGTTGAAATGGTGGAATCTACAAAGATGGCAGATATGTATAAACAGATAAATTACAATACGTAAAAGTTCAAATAATAGAGATATTAATAATACAGAGATAAAATGCCACAAGACTCCAGAAAAAAAGGACAATCATGGGGGAGGGTTGCATGTACAAATAAAGGTGAATGAAGAGAGAGAAGATTAAGAGAAAACAAGATACATGAAAAGGGTTTCGTCTTATGAATGTCTCTGCCACCAGTTTTTAGAGCATATCACGCCCTAATTTCCCTTCCAGCTAGCCTTAACTTTCCAAGCAGTATTCTACAAAAGGCTGATTTTAAAACCTTGGGCTCTTCTGTGGAAACAAGGCCCCCTGTAAGGGGTCAGGATGGGAGGGAAAGATGCACAGGAACCTGCAGCCCTCTGGCCGCTCACTGGTGGGAGGAACGCAAGGCTTTGCCTTGGCCTCTGCACTTTACATGCCTGTAGAGGAGGGTCAGTGTCTCGGTCAATAGATGAAGCAAAAGAAAAGCCTCTTTCACAGAAGGAATCATGAAAAAATCGAAGAGATCTACAAGAAAAGCGGAAGAGGCAGCACCTCGAATCTGAATTAGCTGGACATGTGAAATAGTAAACACATTAGGACGAGCTGGAAAAAAAATAGGCTAAAAGAAAAGTTCCCAATTTTCCAAAACAGAACCACTAGTCTTTCCTCTTTGAAAAAAAATCATTGGACTCTTTTACTTTAAATTAAACTGGAAAGGGGCTCCCTGTCACAACAGCACTTCAACCATGATTTTAAAATAGTAGACTCTAGACAAGTTTTTCACTATATATAATGAACATTGTCACCCATACAACTGGCTGGATGGTGCGACCCCCACCCCTCTGGAATGAGAACGTCACATGGAGTCACAGCAGAAGAGGTTTAGACAGGGCCGCGAGTTGACACAGAACAAAGAGCGTTCTATGGCTGTTGCAGCCGATGACAGATCGGTTGGGGTAAAACAAGGCACCACAGTAAATTATCTTTACTTACCTCCATCGTCCTCTTCAAGAATGCATATTTTAAAAGGAGACAAGTTATTATATTAAAGATGATTTGCTCTGGCATTTTACAAACTATATCAAACAATGATAAAAATGAGATTACAAACTTCCTGGTATTAATTCCAACTAGCATCATTTACCAAACTTAAATTCAGATTATCACTGATCAACTTTCAAGGGTGGTTTCATAGGTGTTTTTTAAATGCCCTAAAAATTTTAGATGATAATATAAATGTTTCAGTTAGACAAGCTGAGAAAGACAGACACCCTACAAAAGAGAAAATGAAAATACTGGCCTAACCAATGATGGGAAACATAAGACAGGAAGCAATATTAAAAGAACTCTCAATGCAATTGACCAATCCTACTACAGTCACGTGCCATGTGACCACAGGGACGCATTCTGAGAAAGGTGTGGCTAAGTGATTTCATCGTTGTGCTATCACAGACAGAACTAACACAAACCCAGACGGCACAGCCCACTGCACACCTAGGCTGTAGGGCACAGCCTATTACTCACAGGTTATGAGCCTGTAAAGCACGTTGCCGCACAAAACAACACAAGATGAAAGCAGGCACAAGAGAAAATGATGCAATCAAGACACACAGTAACAGGAGAGATATGAGAATGAGGCCAGTGTAATGCAGCACACTGCTCCGCAGCAAAGATTTTTCCTATAAGTAGAAAAAAGTGCATAAATAATGACAAGTAGCTTCAGCATCATGACCGACGGAGAAGACTCCATTGTTTCTCCCCTTAAATTTACAACAAGTCAGACAACTATCACTCAACACACAAGCATGTCGGAAAGATGCACGCATCAGGACATCTGAGAGAGGGCCTATTGGAACAAGCAGAGAAGTGGGGTAAGAACAGGGATGGAGGCCACAGATGCATTTTGGGGACTACTCAGGCAGTAGTGACATAAGTTGAGCTGCAGTCCCCACTCTGTAGCCTGGACCATAAGGGGGACAGAAGCAGTTTTACTGCTGGAAAGGTGACCTCCCATACCACCTCCCTGTCCTGGCAGAACCAGCAATGCCAACAACAGCCATGACCGGAAGGGGTGGAGCCACAGGCAGCAGTCTTGCCTCCTCCACCCTAAACACACCCCAGATAGTCTGGTCAAGTCAAAACCATCGCAGGAAAAGGAGGTAGCTCTCTTGGAGCTGCAACACCGGTTTTCCACCCTGCACCAAATTTGCAGCACAGTGCTGGTGCTCCATAATCAATGTCACTAGTCATAAAGGGGACACCAGTCATCCCAGGGGGTATGTGGCACTTTCTCTAACTGAAGCGACGCAGCTCCACCACACACCCAGAGGCACAAAGAGCCCAAGTCAGAGAAAACCAAAAAACGTACTATGACACTATCTAATGAAAAGCAAAAGAAAGTACCCTACCTGTCCACCTGCTGAGTCATTGAGAGCAAAACGGTAGATAAACAAGAAGTCAGTGTCTCAAATGCATGGACAAGTAAACAATCCATCAAATACCATGAACAAGCAAGGTAACATTGGAACACAGAAATAAAATTAAGTCTCCAGAAACCAAAGTCATGGAAGACCAACTTAAAAAACAGAGAATTCAAAATTGTAGTTATGAAGAAACTCAAAGATATACTAAATATTAGAAAACTCAGAAAGGTAACAGTTCAAAGAGTTCATGAATAATACTGATGAACATAGAGAGTACTTAAAGCAAAGATACTGAAAGTATAAAAAAAGAAACAAATTCTGGAGCTGAAGAACTCAATACATGCCAGGAGGGATACATTAGAGAGCACTGGGAATAAAGAAGTCCAAATGCAAGAGAGAATTAGCAAACTTGAAGACAGAAACATAGAAATGGCCTCAGAGGAAGGAGAGAGAGAACTAACAGAATTAAAAATGCAAAAACACTGAGCACTATCTGACTACATTACAAAAAGCAACCTAAGGATAGTAGGTATAGCAAAAGGAGAAATCCGGGAGAAGAGAACCAAGAACCTACTCAAAATAATAATTGATGAGAACTTTCCAAGCCTATCATATGACCTCGCAATCCCTCTTCTGGGTATGTACCCAACAGTTTGAAGACACTAATTCATAGAGATGCACCCTATGTTCAATGAAGCATTATTTACAATAGCCAAAATAATGGAAACAACCCAAACATACATACTTCAGCGCATGACTGGATAAAGATGCAGTACACAGATACCATGGAATACTACTTAGCCATCTAAAAGGTGAGGTGTTCTCATCTGTGACGACATGGATGGATCTTGAGGTTACTATGCTAAGTGAAATAAGTCAGACAAAAAAAGAACAAAAACTGTATGACTCCATTCATATGTGGGATATAAAACAAAAAGCAACAACAAAACAAATTAATTTTTTAAGAAACTAAACTCATAGATACACACAATAGCATGGTGGTTACCAGAAGGGAATGGGGTGGGACAGGACAAAATACATAGAGGTCAAGTATATGGTGACAGAAGATCAGACTTCAGGTAGGGAGCGCACAAGGGACTCTGCAGACGTATCATAAAGTTGTACACCTGAAATTTATGTGTTACCCCAATCAAATTAATAGAAAATTAAATGATTGAATGATGATAAATAGTACAGTACAGCAGGAAACACATAAACCAGGAACAGCCGTTGTTATCCAGTACTGTGTACCATACGCAATTGTAGGGGCTGCACTTGGATCTGAGAGGCAGTACAGCGGGTTTGTTTCCGCCGGCACCACCGCCCACGTGTGAGTAACAGGCAGACTGCAGGACAGCATTCTTCTGGCTACAGACAGCATCTCTCCAGGTAGGAACTTCTCAACTCTACTGCTCTACCTGTGGTCTGTCATCGACTGAAACATCATAATGTGCACGACTGTCTATCAACACCTGGCTATTTACTACCGGGAATTAATTTTTAACGTAAACAAATAGAGCAGTGTATTTAATGGGATCAATACTTTCAGTTCTCTGCTTTTCCTTTTGAAATGAAATATGCCTTCAGGTGCTGCATTTGTCTGCAGGTGTTAGGTTAGAATGCCCTCATCTCCGAAGATCTGTGCATTAAGGGAGTCTGTCTTGGCCCTCGATCGGTTGTACTCTGTGTTATGACACTCAGAGCCCCGTGCGAGATGACGCCTCCCACATCCTGTCTCTCACATGGTCTCGCTGTCGGGAGCTACGGTCCACCAGGTGAACACTGAGCCTCAGGGGGCAGCTGCAGCTGCACACTGTGAGTCTCCCACTTCAGTATACACAGCAGTAACTGGACAGCTCCAGGGTCCTGACCCCCAAAATTCCAACTCGGCAGCCAGGACGGTGGAGCATGAGAATTTTCTGTTTAACAAGCCTTCTGGGGATTTTCCGTTATCTGCAGATGATAATCTAAGAAATACCTCGAAGGGAGATGCAAACTCACTACCCAGGGAGCACGCTGGCACACACGGTCAGAACGCCCACTGTCCCGGGGGCCTACCTGTCTCAGCATCCTTGGGCCTGCGTTCTTCGCCAGGAGAGTCGGGTGGTGGCCGAGCAGACGAGACTCGCCTGGGGAACTGCCCTTCTGTGTAGTCCAGTGAGTGTGTGGGCTGGCTAACGGCAGCCCAGGTGTAAAGTTGATCTTGCTATATTTAAAAATAAGAAAAAAGTTTAAAGCTATTAATTTGATTACAAAAATGACGTCATCTTGACCGATATGTGGCAACAGCATTTCTAACATAAATATATGTGTGGGACGTGTGGATACAAGGGTGGTTTACGGTTGTGAGTACGTAAAAAGAGTTTATTCTTGTATTATGTATTAATTATTGTATGATGTATTTCTATTACAATGGTAAGCCTACCTTTGCCCACCCTAGTATATATATAAAACATTAAATCCTATTCAATGCAGAGTTATAACACATATTCTTTCACACAGTCATTTCATTTCTTAACTAGGCTTGTCTCAATTTCTTTTTCATAGTGAAATGGAAGTTTCTTTGGATGTGGAGATGCCATGTGGGCCCACAGGGAATTACGAAATCCAAATATCCAGACACTTAACGGGAGAACTTCTTGGACGAGCAGCTTTAATCCATTTGAACATGCTGTCCCTTTAAAATCTGTTTAAACACTTGAGGCAAAGTCCAAGGACAGGCTGTCCTTGGGCATCACAGGACATAACGGCTTCCTGGCCTTCAACACAAAAGGCCCAGGAAACCAACTTATCTGGGGTCCAGACTGGGAACTGTTTGGGAGGGAAACCATGAAAAAGGAAACGAAGCTGCCAAGACCAAAAGAACTGGACAGGGACCTGCTGGCCAAGCGAGAAGTCTCGGCACCACACTCCCTGCCAAGGAGCAAAGTGTAAATCTCACGAAGGAGGCCGCTTGGAAGCCCTATAAACACCTTGGAAAACTGCTCGTTCGGATTCCAGAACGAATAGCATGTTTCCTGATAGGATGCGTGTGCTCATTCCAGAACATGCCCTGAGAGCCGCAGAGTTTTCCTGGCCTGGGTGCCGACTGTCTCTGCATTTCGCACTCAACGAACCCTGTGGTGTGGCCTCAACTGTCCGGGACGCCTCTCTCTCTGCGGCATTGCTGTTCACCATCTCGGGAGTGCCTCTGGTACTGTCCCAAGTGCTGTGCGTGACTCCTTGCTACCAGATACCATATCCTATATCCCCTTGTTTTCTTTCTAACAGACACACGGTGAGTAGTAAAGAACTACGAGAGTCAAGGTCAATAAAAGCTGCCTTTGAATAAATCAAATCGTAGCTTTGTATCTCAGTCCAAACAGAGATGTGTTTCCCACAGTGATACACCACTTCCTTAAATTCTGAAGGTCTGTTTTGACTTTGGTTCAAGTGGCTAATTTATTCCTGTTAAGGAAAACAAATACAGGCTTTCTACAAAGGCATATAGAGAGATTTAAAATCACAACTCACGCCCTGGCTAGTGTGGCTCAGCAGAGTAAGGGCCAGAGCAAACCGAAAGCTCTGTGGTTCGATTCTCAGTCGGGGCACATGCCTGGTTTGCAGGCCAGGTCCCCAAGAGGGGGCTTATGAGAGGCAACCGGTTGATGTACCTCTTGTACATCGATGTTTCTCTCCCTCTCTTTCTCCCTCCCTTCCCTTCTCTCTAGAAATAAACAAAATCTTTTTTTAAAAAAATCACAACTTAAAATTGAGGTATAAATAAACCACAAAATAAAAAGGAAAAAAATGTTACTTTCAACAAATATTTTCTCATCTTTATAAACTGAGTTATACATGATAATCCCCGGAATAACTCAGCACTACAGTATGCAAACACTCTGTTCTCAAGGGCCCACTAGGAAACACTAACGCTCACAGTTAGGCATTCTAAGAGCTCTTCACTGAGGCTCTTATAGCCAAGAGGAGGGTCTGGGTATCACCGGAAGGTATTTCAGGCTAATGTTCTTCTGAGAGTGCTATACACTAGAACATTCCACGGCCCTTGGTCTGTATGATGAAACAAAATCACAGTTACTCCCTGAGAGGACTGTTGCCCTTCCCTTTGCTGTTCCTACAACTGACTCATCAGTGAATGGAGATGGGCTGTTCATACTCATGGGAATAAATCTTAGCTGGGGTTTCCCACTTCCTAGTTAGCGGACGGAACTGCCCCAGCTCAGAAGCCATTGAATCAATATTTGAGCCGTAAAATATAGTAACTATATCCCGGAGAATCCAAGAAGCTCAACCTCCCGTCAAACATCAAAAGTTTGCCTGAGGGGAAAATGTTTTTTGGAAAAAAAATGCCTAAAAGCATGCAGTTCACCCATTTCTTTACAGATACTCTGAAATCTACCGCTGGAATGCACAGGGAAAAACCTGTGGCCACCAGCAGAGGGCTCTTCACTGCCACCTGCTGATCCTGGCCTGGAACTGCTTCAACGGAACTGGGCTTGGCTGGGACCTAGAAAGAGCCGGGAAAACCTCCCGCCTGCTGCACTAATAACATTAATTTCTGACTTTAGAACTTCAAAGCTTCATCTGAAGAATTAAAGACTTGGATGGTATTTTGAGCTTATTTGTGCTTTTCCAAGACTTGCGTTTGCTTCTGGTTTTGTCTATCGGAAAATCTGAAATGAGTGTATGGCCCAGCCGCTACAGGTTTTCGGGTTCCAGGGTAATGCCCTCGTCTGGCCACATTCCTGGCTCTGTGTTATGTCCCATTTCAGTTTTGTTTCCTTTGCCAAATCTGAACAACCTTCCCGCGTGCATTTTAGTTAGATATGGCAAACTGATTCTACCATTTATATTGAAAGGGCTTAAAATGGCCACGATAATCTTATTAACCATCGCAGTGAAAACACGCACCACCCCAGATATTAAGACGTGCTACAGTGCCTACTAATGAAGCTCTCTCGTTTTTGGACAACGATGCACAAACACACAGTGGAATAAAGATCCACCGCCAGATGCTCACCTCCAGGGACGGATAATAAAATACGACCTTTATCTCACATACGGAAAACTTCTCTCTTTCTCCCAGTTATCTTTACAGAGGATGTTATTAACTATGCTTTGAATACTATTGATCCAAATACTGATGAAATCAGTTGGGGGAAAATTATTACATGAGTTTTTGCCATGCACCACGAACACAGGGCTTGGTTGGGGAATTTTGAGTAATCCCAGGAGACTGAGAAAAAGAATTAAGAATCCCTTTTTTTCAGGCAGCCACGAGGATGGCGGACAATCAGACGGAGCATGCCCACAAAAGCAGCCCACCATCTTTCAAAATAAGAAGAGGGTCCTGCTTGGAGAAAGTGGCAAAGAGAAGCTCCCGCGATACTACAAGAACATCGGTCTGGGTTTCAGGACACCCAAGGAGGCCATCGAGGGCGCCTACATTGACAAGAAATGCCCCTTTACTGGTAAAGTCTCCATCCGAGGGCGCATCTTGTCTGGTGCGGTGACCAAGATGAAGATGCAGAGGACCACAGTCATCCGCCGAGACCACCTCCACTACATCCGAAAGTACAACCGTTTCGAGAAGCACCACAAGAACATGTCAGTGCACTTGTCCCCCCGCTCCAGAGACGTCCAGATCGGCGACATCGTCACAGTGGGTGAGTGCCGGCACCTGAACATGACCATGCGCTTCAATGTGCTCAAGGTCACCAAGGCCACCGGCACCACGAAGCAGTTCCAGAAGTTCTGAGACTGGACACCTGCCCACATCCCCAAATGAAACAAAGTTATTTTCTCAGTCAAAAAAAAAGAATTAAGAATCCAAAGGATAAATAAGAAATATAATATTAAACACACAAATGTGGTATTAATTAGCTCGGTTCTCAAGAGATGTCACATCTGAATTGAAACCCATAAATTAGCAGTATTCAGCCTATCATTTTCTCACCTAGGCAGTGTAAGAGAATGCGGACAAAGTGGGATGCATTAGGGGTTCAGAAGAAAGTTAATTAATAATTAACCAGTTACTGGACGGATGCACTGGTCACACATGCCCTCCTGGGACAGCTGGCCGGGACCGTGGGAGATCCTCTTCGTAGATGGATCGACTGTGGCGATGAGGAAGAGGTGCAGTTATGTGACTTTTAAAAGTACCTGACCTACATTTACAAGTCCATTTCTGTTCAATTTGACATCTTCTACAAAGAAAAAAGAATATTACTCAAGTCTAAATGTCTCTTTCCTCATGTTACATTAGGGAGAAAACATGTCTAAACAACCTCGTTGGTGGCATTGATTAGAATATTATTATGTTATTATGTTATATAATAACATCGATAATACTCTGAATGTCATACCTGAGGAGGTCAGCTGACCTCACAAGGTCACAGCAAATGCAGGAAAAGAAAATCAGGTTTTCCAACGTCCAACTAAACATGTATACTTTCCTGTGATACGGATCTTATACTCTCAGACCTTAAAAACCATGTTTTTTTAAAATCAAAGCTGAATATCATTTGGCTGTATTAAATTTTTAACACATTTTCTAGCATTACCTAGCTGAAAGAAATAGAAGAGGCAGAATCTTGCAGCAATTACAAGGATACTTTTGAAGTTTAAAAGTGAGTTCAATGCCTAGTTGCTACTCTTAGGTTTGAACAAATTAATCTCCCCGAACCACAATTCTCCCTCTGTGAAATAAAGACGGGGTAATTTTTGCAAATCACAGTGTCTCCAGCTCTAGTAAGGGTTCGATAAATAGCACCACCTACAGTTACTAATAATAGTAGATATTATACTAATTCACTACTTTCACATTCAGGAGACTGTCTATCATAACAGGAAAAGGTGAAAACAAATCGTAGAGTATAACAGTGCAAAAGCTATTACTGCAGGGAAGGGAAGCTTGCAACTGATGCCTGGTGACTGAGAGAGCACCTGCTTGAAGGAAGAGACCCACTCACGCCTCAGTCCTCAGGGCTAATTCACCGTGAGCGGCCACTTCGCGTCGGACACACTGGGAAGTGTGACCCAGTCATCCATCTTCCCACAGCTCCAGAAGACGGTCACCCCATAAAGGACTAGCTTTATAAAGTACAGCAGTGTAAGGGGAAACAAAACTTTCCTGGTAAACCATGTACGGTGTTCGGTAAGTCTTCAGTTTTACAAAGTGGATAGTCACGTGTCTTCCAGAATGAA